CCCCTCCGGCTCTGGCCCTGGGCTCCACGGTGGCTCCCATGCCATGGCGGCTATTTTTAACCCGTGCATTCCTCCTGCCTCCCTGATGTTTCTCAGAAACCTCCTTCTTGAGGGAAGCAAATGGGGAAAAGGTTCCTCCCCGCCGGCTGCATCCTGGAGCTTGGGTGCGGGCGCTGGGAGAAGCGACTGCCCCAGCACCCTGTCCCCTTGCCCAGCCCACCGAGACAGGGACCCCCGGGGCTGCGAGGGGCTCCGGGTCCCTCTGCCCTGGCAGGTGAAACTCCCTCCCCCAGACTGGGAGCTGAGCAAGATTTCACAGCTCCGAGTGCCCTCGTCGCTGCCCAGAGCCATCTTTCACAGCCTGGCTCCCTCCCAGCCCGGCTCCAGCACCCACAGCATCTTCAGCCCAGCTGTTTCTCTTGGCGTGCCGCACAGGCGGGTGCTTCCATCGGTACACGGTTCACGTCACACTCAGAGCTCAGCTTTTACACTTATGCAATAAGCACTGCAAGCAGCTTGTTGTTTTGGTGACTCCCGGGTGCCTTTGGCCGGGAGAGACGAGAATATGAATGGGGAGGTCCTGCGGCTGCAGCGAAAGCACCAGAGAGGTGGGAGTGAGGAGGAGGAGGAGGAGGAAGAGGAGGCAGAGGCTGAGCCGGTTTCCAAACTCCGACTTTCAGGGGAAGGCAGAACCCGTGCTGACAGCTCAGCCTCACCTCCTGCAGCAGACCTGCCGGAGCATCCTGGTTCCCACGGGATCCAGCAGGGCCGCGGGGCAGCCAGGCTGCCGAGGGCAGGTTACTCTCGGTGCAGGCAGGGAATGAAAACCTTTCCCCGTTCCGGGCATTTCTGTGGTTGCGAAGGGCAGTGGTGGCTTGCCCGGGCAGGGCAGGGTGTTGTAGGAGCTGGGAGCCTGCCAGCAGGAGCTGCCGGGCTAGCAGAGGCACCAAGCCCCTCAGAGGTCAGGAAAGATCCAATGAATATTTTTTTTCCTAACTGGCACATGGGCCTTTTGGCTCCCAGAAGTGACCTGAAGCATGAACAAGGGCAGCGAGGGGACTCCAGGTGCTGGGACCCCACAGCTGGGGTGGCTGTGCAGGGAGCTGTGTCCTCCCTGCAGCCTGCCCAACCGTGCTGCCTCTCGCCTGCTTCTGCCCCGGGGAAGAGCCCAGGATCCATACCGAAGGGCAGGCGGATTGCTCATGAACGCTTGCTGATCCAGTCCAGCTTCCAGCCCCATCTACGGAGCCAGCTGGAGCCGGCACGTGCGGGAAGGGGCGAAGGCAGCTGGCACATGGCGGAGGGATGCTGGGTGCCATGCAAAGGGCAGGGATGTGAGCCTGCAGCCGATGGGCAAAGGCTTCCCTCCCGATCCAGAGATGCATCCCAGCTCCCGGGGGGTCTGACTCGGTGCTATTTGCTCTCCCTGCTCCGTTTTTCCCCCCTGGAGTCATTTCAGCCAGGTTTTCCCCCTGCAAGCAGCCAGAGAGCCCAGCCCTGGGTGCAGGAGAGCCCCTGCGACCCCTCAGTCGGGGGCAGAGCCTGGTGTGGGTGCGAGCAGAGCCGTGGCTCGTGCGAGACGCTGGTGGCAGGCGTGTGGCCACTCTGTGTCAACCTGCAGGGCTGTCCCTGCCTCTGCCAAATTTCCTTTGCAAGAGCGTGAACCAAACGGCATGTCTCGGGGGTGCATTTTGGGGTGCTGAGCACCCCCAGCAAGTGCCAGCCCTGACCCGTGCCCAGGGGACAGGGACACTGGGGGCCACCGTCCCGCCGAGCCCTGGTGAGGGTTTGGGCGGAGGTGCGCTTCCCACGGGCAGGATGGGCTTGTTTACCGGGGGCAACTTTTATCTGCACAAACAGCTCTTGGGCGGGCAAAGTGGATATGGGTTTGTCGTTATCTCCGCCGGCAATCGGAGGGGAATGTAAACACGGATGGGGTGGAAATGCCGAGGCACGGGGACATCCTCGCCAGGGGGTCACCACGATGGGCAGCAGCACCCGGGGACCCACCATCACCCCGTCCTGCGTGGGGCTGGAGCTGGGTTTCCCAGCCACGGGAGAGCCGGGGCGCGGCGTTAGGCTGGAGACAAGCCCTCCCGCGGGGGATCCAGGGAGATGGGGAGATGATGGATGGGGCGAGACGAAAGCCGCCAGTCCCCACTGCCCACCATGCAGAAGTTTATCCTCCCCTTCATTTATTTTCTTCCTGTCTGCAGCAAACCCTCCCGTAATCAGCGGCCCGGTTAGTATTGGTGGAAGTGCCGCCGGCGATAGCCGGGGATGGGCAGGAACTGCCCCAGGAGCTGCCTCTCGCTGCCCGTCCCCGGGGGCTGCTCTCACGCCAGGGGCCGCAGGGCAGCGGAGAAGGGGGCTGTTCCCCGTGGCAGCCCCCGGCTGTCGTGCGTGCAATGCGAACTTCGGTATTCCATGACTTTTAAGACATGTTTTCCAAGAGCCACGAGACAGATTTCTCTCCCTGGGAGCCTGCTAGGGGAGCAAGTGTTTTACAAAAAGCCAACCCTGCTCAGCTAAAAGTGATTTAAAACAGGTCAGCAGCAAAGACTGCAATTGCTGATGAGCAGGCGAAGAGACGGGGACACCTATGAGAAGCACTTCGGCTCCCGACTTAGAAGGCAATAAGGCAATAACCTGGTATCACATGAGGATGACGAAGGTCTTTCCAGCCCTGTTAGCTGCCCAGGGAAAGGGCAGATAAAATGCTCTAGAGATGAACATACTGTAACCAGCGGATGCTGGTAGCACAGGCAGGCGACCACCGGTGCCCGATTCCTCTTCCCTGCCTGCCGGCGCAGGGCGGGCAGCACCAGGGCAGCAGAGCTGGCAGCCGGGGGCATCTCACGACCTCCCTCTCCAGGAGCATCCCTGGTCCCTCACATGCTGCCAGGAGCACCGAGCGCCTGCAGGCATGGGGACGACGATGCCATGGCGGGGCTGGGGTCCCCACGTACTACTTCATCTCTTTTCTCGGTGGTTGTCGGTGCCGTTCCCGTGCACAGAACGGCAGAGAAATGCCAGACGTTTCAGCGACAGGCGGCACAGGGGTCCTGCCCCCCCCGAGACATCACTGATTTATTGCCCCAGGGATGGTTGTTCCCTGGCTCTGGGTCCAGGTGGTTTCCCCTTTCTTTCTTGCATTTTTTTTAATCTCCAGCCTGTGTGGGAAATGGGAGACAGAGACGGATGAGGAGGAAAGGCTATTGTTAGGGCTCTGGGCTGTGCATCCCAGACCGGCTCGCTCAGTGCCAACTGTTTTCTGGGGAGGTCTCTCCAGTGGGGGAGATTGTATCAGCAGAGTCCAGGAAGGACGTCGCTGCCAGCCCGGGAGAGCAGCGTGTTCTCCACCATGGACTGGAGCTCTGAAGAGCTCAGCAAAGGCAGCGAGAGCTGAGCATCCGCATCCTCGGTCCGGGATGGGGACTGGCCGTCTTAGAATCATAGAATCATGGAATCGTTTAGGTTGGAAAAGACCTTTAAGATCATCAAGTCCAACCGTTAACCCAGCGCTGCCAAGCCCACCACTAAACCACGTCCCTCAGCACCGCATCTCCTGGCTTTTAAATCCCTCCAGGGGTGGGGACTCAGCCCCTGCCCTGGGCAGCCTGGGCCAGGGCCTGACAGCCCTTTCCGTGAAGAAATTTTTCCTAATATCCCACCTAAACCTGCCCTGGCGCAGCTTGAGGCCATTTCCTCTTGTCCTATCTTGTGCTGCCCGGCTTGCTGCAGCCTTTTGGGGTCTCCTGGGCACCCCAAGTGCCACGTTGGAGCCTCCCCGATGGGAAGATGCCTGCAGGTCTCATGGCGTGGAGAAGCCATCTCTGCAGGACAGAAAGAGTCCGGTCCCCTGGAGGGGCATCTCCAGAAGGGGCATTTCATGGGATTTTGAACACCCTGGAGAGTTTCCCCCCACACTTACCGTTGCAGCCAGTCCTTGCCCACACCCTGACCCGGGGGACCCCCAGGCGCCAAGGGCAGACACCCCGATGAAGCGGGGGTTCGTGGCCCCCTGCTCCGCCCTAGCCAGGATGTGCCCTTAAACCCTGACCTGCCCCCAGCTCCTTGACCCCGTAATGGTCCATTCTCCGGGAGGAGGAGGAGGAAATGGCAATGGACCTTGTTATTCGGCAGCGGGATGCCTCGCTGGGTTGGGGGTCACTGCTGATGTCATTCGGCACGGCCGGATATGTTATTTTCCTGCCCCAGCAGTTGGTAATCGATTCAGCAGCCGGCACGGGGCGAGGGCTGCCTGCCTGGCACCGCAGGCTGCCCGGGGTCCTGGGGGTCCTTGAGGAGCAGACCCCTCGAAGCGTCCCTCTCCATCCCCCAGCCTGGCAGGAGACCCCTGCCCTGCTCACGCAGATGCTGCCCTGAAGAAAGGGCTCGGAGCCCCTTGGGGACCCCCAGCACCCCAGAGCTGGACCATGGCTCCACAGGGATGAGGTTTCATCCCCCAGGGATGGGGCAGTGGTCAGGGGGGCCGTGGGAGCTGGCTCAGCCCTGGCTAGCCGGGCTTGCCCGAGCCAAGCATGGGTCGAAGCAGGCAGGGAATGCCGGTTTGGCCGTGTCCGGCTGCAGGCCCATGGCCAGGGTCCGGCGCAGCGTGCGGCAGCTGAGCTCCATCTGTTGGAGCCGGGGTGATGGCGGGGTTTGGGCAGGGCAGGGGCCAGCTGCGTCCCACCACCGCCTGGGCCAGGAGAGCAGCCCAGGCCCCTTTCCAGGGACCGTCATTGCCACAGCCCTGGCCACCACCACGGTTTTCCAATGCAGGCAAAACGTGGCTGAAACTGTGCTCGCCTCCATGCTGGCTCTCTGTGTCCCTGCCATCAGCAGATGTCACCATCGGACCGGTGTCCCTGTGCGGGTCAGCAGAGCCCTGCTCTCACTGCTGGGGGAGCAAGGAAGAGCCAAAGGGTTTTTTCCAGCCGGTACCGCAGCTTGCGATAGGAAAACAAGGAGCAGAGGCAGGGTCAGGCCCTCGGCTTATGAACGGTGCGGGGTCGGCATCAGCTGCCTTGCGTGCAAAGGACCGGGCTGGGGTAGCGGGGGCACTGGTGGGGGTCTGCCCCCTTCCCGGCCATGCCACCCTCCTGACAGGCTCGGGGAGCCCCTCTCCCTCCGTCCGGCAGGCAGGGCTGAGCTGCCGGCACTCATCACACTTGTGAGCAGGGTGGTCCTGCCGGGGGGAGCGGGCCGTGCCCTACCCAAGGATGCCTGGAGAAGCTTTGCGCCAGGGCTTCACCCCCGGGTGCCCCAGCTCTGCCCCCTGCCCAGCCCGGGGCTCCCGCCCAGCGACCCCAGCCCACCCTGCTGTCCTCCCTCTGCGCCTCAGCTTCTCTCTCAGTGCTTGATTTAATAAAGTTTTAAGAAAAAAACTTTTTTTTTTTTCACTTTTTTTTTTTTTCACTGCCCCGAGGCTCGGGGAGCCCCGACCGGGGCGGTCCTGCTTCGGGTGCGGCCCAGCACCCCGGGGGGCGGCGTGGGGGTGCCGGCCACGTGTGTGGCCCCCCCGGTCCCCCCTGCTTTTGGTCCCTGCCCCCCCCGGAGGTGGCAGAGCCATTTGGGACGGGGGGCTGCCACCCAGGCGGGCTGACATCTGTCCCCGCAGGGTTCACACGGGGACCACCCGGGACCTCCCACGGTGGCCACCCCAGCTGCACGTCCCGCGTGGGGCTGCCGGGCG